GTTACAGTATTGAATTTACATATATGTTTTTTGGAGTCTAATTAAAGCCTCCAATCTTATTGTTTTGTCAAAATTGGGAAAACCACTATTATAGAGGGTCTCCCATCGGCCATCACAGGGACTTTCGGGAACAAGGGAACATGACAACAAATGGTAAAAATACACGGGAACAAACTTAAATTTACGGAACATGACGCTCGCAAGGGGCAAAGTGACCCTCATTACAACATAGAGTTTTGTGTTGGCAAAGCACAATTTTGATATTTGGATTTTGCGGAACGGGTTGCTAGCCAGAGGAAAGTCTCTGATGACAGAATCGACAAAATCATTCAATGCGTACGATCAAAAGTGATTTGTTGACTGGTCCCGTGGTGCATCAGGTCGGAAACCCTATTGCCAACAAGATCACACCACGGATGAAATTGCGGGCGGAAGGATTGAATCTCATTCTGAATGTCATTCTGAGAAATATCGAGCGATTTCTACCATTTAAAGCGAGAGTTTGTTACTGGGTGAAATAATTCTCGACAAACAGTGTGCTAAAGTTTTTTACACCGAAGGAATTTAGGAAATTACTTCATTCGTTCTGGAGATATCGACGGCTTTTTCGAATCTCATTCTGGCCTCATTCTGGTCATCGATCACAGGGCTACCGTTGGTGAATATGCGTTTTTAAAAAGAAACATTTCCAGCCCGTTGTCGCAAAAATTTACAATTTTTCATTACATTTGGCATATTTTGTTGTAATTGTGAGGATTTAATGAAAAACTCCTGGTTTTGAGCATCAATTCGTTGATATGCAGTGGTGTTGTTTACGTCTAGAGGGCCTAAAGGATTGAATCTCATTCTGAGGAAAATCGAGTGAGTTCTGCCAGATAAAAAGAGCTTTCGTTGTCAAATAAAATCATTTCGGATAATTTACTTATTGTACTTTTTTACGCAGAAAAGATTTTGAGAATTGCTTCTTGTTTTTGGAAGATATCGTTGATTGTTTCGTGCCCGGCAAAATACCCTTTTTTCGACCATAGGGACCCCATATGTAGACAGGAAACAACGCGAAAATTTCGCCCGCAATTCTCAGTTTTTTTGTGTAAAAAGGTGCTAAAAGAATCATTTAGACAAGATGGCTTAGAAATGATTAAATCAAACATCAGAAATACATTTTAGACAGTTTTAGTCTTTCGTGGTTCGGATTGAATCTCATTCTGTATGTCATTCTGATGTCGAATCTCATTCTGAATCTCATTCTCATTCTCTGTCTGAATAGCATGCGGTCTCCAACAGGTCCGACGTCCATTAACTGTTTATATCGATCTCAAAACGAGACTTTTTTGAACCAACTTTGAGGCTGTACGCTGCATATTTCTCAGCGTACAAGACCATTGTTTTAGCTGATTAACGGCAAATATTATTCATGGAAAGGAGCATTTTGATTGGTTAAAGTACCGTCTAGGGTATTCACTGCGTATTCATGACCGATCTCCATTCAACATGAAGTAACTCAATCTTCAAAATTAGCTTCAAAGATCTCCCAGCTTCTCTATGCTTCGCAGCGTTATTGTTTCAAACTAATTTCGTGATATTTTGTACTGGTACAAAATGTAGAATATCGAAGGTAACAAATTCAACCATAATCAATAGGCCATAAACATCTTTTAGTTATTACAAGTATACGTCGTATTAATATATTTTCTGAGAAATCTCAGGGTATTCACTGAATACCTTGAATACCCGGACGCTACGCCACTGCTGATGACAGTGTGTATGTGAGCCAAAAAATCTTGAATTGAATATTCCACTCTACCTCCATGACAAAGAAATGTGTGTTGCTGAAAAGGAACAAGTTGTGGAATTGGAAGATGATTAGATTCATCACAATTCAATTTTCTTGGTGCAGGCTGGTTTACTTTTCAACATTGCTTCAAGAAAAGAATGAAAAAAACTAAGAAGCATGGTAATGCATTAAGAGCTTTTCGGTCGCTCCGTGTATGGGGTTTTCAAAACTAGATTATGCCAAAAGTATCTTTTTGCAGTAATTGTCCAAACCAAGGATCGTCACCGAATGCAAACAAATCGATCGGGATTCTGATTTGAATACTTTTTCCTTCGTCTATAATTAGCGCGTTTATTATATCTTATAATTGTAGCGCCAAGCAGAGTTTATATGTTGATGCCCTGCTCAGCATTTCCTTTCATTTTTCTTTCCCATTTTTCTTTCCCATTTTTGTACATTATAGGTGCCTTTCATTATAGTCAATCTAAAATGACGAAGCAAGTGCATAACACATTAAGTAACTTTCTAGCTAATAAGGGTATATCAGAGAACTATGCATTTTTAGGTATTTATTTAACCTTTTTTCAAAGAGGGATATTTACATACTCTATCTAAACCAACACGCCAAAGTACACCAGTAAACAAAGTTACAGTTTTATAACTTGAATCGATAAATAGCTCTAGTGCAAGGCCTAAAAAGGTCATGGTTCAAATACCCCAGTCTAGAAATTGCTCAAGAAAGAAATCTTAAAACTTAAATTGCATCTAGTTTTATATTGTACGCCAAAGTACACCAGTAAACAAAGTTACAGTTTTATAACTTGAATCGATAAATAGCTCTAGTGGAAGGCCTAAAAAGGTCATGGTTCAAATACCCCAGTCTAGAAATTGCTCAA